CACATCGGCGGTTGGAGATTCTACCAGACATGGCGCAGTCGCGCAATCAGTTCCTTCCTTCATTCCGTTTCTTGCATATAGCAATGGATTTTCATTCCATCACATTTACTTTAACGCATTCTTTTTTGATTCCGTTTTCTTTGTATTTTCTTTTCATTTTACTTCATTTCCTTCCCGTTTATACCTACTGTTAATCTGGCGATGTAAGTCGTGGCAACTGGCTCCACCACATTCCCGTTCCCGAATCATGCTTTTTTACCTGAACATGAAATTTCCATGTTCCGTTTCTTCAAAGTATACTTCGCTACTTTATGTCGTTCACAAAATGCGTAAGAACTCACTTTGTGGTTTCTGTACGAAAATTGTTGGACACACGGCGAATGCTGTTACATACTTCGATCGATGCCATAGCAGCCGTACTTGCTGTGGCTACTTGTCTGCCCCTTCCTATCGTCTCTTGCCTTCCATTCAATACGACTTCATTCAAACTTTTGTGCACCGAATGGCGCATTCGAACGTCACCTAGGAGATGTATGACATCTACCAATGCAGTTCGTGGCCAGAAATGTGCAGCTGTGAGCAGTTTTCACACATGGTCACGCACACTGTCCTGGATCCCATCTGAGGTTCAATCCAGCGTTTCTCTCCTTCCCCTGACAAGTCATTACCTCATCGTTCCATGGTTTTTGGATGCACGACACCAACTGATGTTTATCGTTCCTTGACTTTATGCTCTGCGAGCTCGGACGATACAGTTGATCAATGTCTGATGGCTGAGAATCCATGGCAAACAGCGATAAAATAAACCGCGAAACTAAGAGAAACTTCCCGCTGCTTCTCAACAACAAGTCAGATGAAGCAAGGCTAGATGTCACCCGCTTAGATTAATGAATGGTTGTCAAAGCTCTTGTTCTTTCACGTGCTTCAACCCACTTATCCAAGTCATAAGGCGTGCTGTGATCACGACTTTGAAATGTTATAAATTATGGTTGATAGGCTCCTCGACATAGGTGAGGACGAAATAAACGTGAGACAAGTTATCCGCCTCGGTGAATGCATTACTAAGAATGACCAGCGTACGTGGGTTACTTTGGCCGACGAAACCAACCCGGTGCTAATGCTGTTTCGGCTGAGCGGCGAAAGGATGCATATTTGTCCGGATATGGGTGAAGCTAACCGAAAGCGTCTCAAGTGTGTCGTCATCGAGTTAAAGCTGTGGACCGAAGGATTACCACACAAATCCGGATTCGAATAAATCGGTCACTCACTCTTCGGACACACGCAGTGGTTCCTACTACGGTCTACATGCAGTCTTCTGTACTGGGTCTAGCAGAGAATTGGTTGAATGCTGACACAATCACCTAAGAAGTTGCGATTAGTGTTTACTCGCTATGACAGGCTATCCGTGATGTCTTGTTCTCTGTGTGGGAGACTTGTGCGCGCTTAATGAAGCGACGCTGGCTTATGTGAGCAGCTATGGTGCTCGATCTATCTCAAGTGCGGAAGGTCTCTCGTTGATGCAGTTTTTCACAGTCTCCTGTGCCGTTGTTTTGGTTAGCTGTTCATCTCCGGAACCATATGGGTCACCCACATTTTTTGCTCGTGGGCGCTTTCACTCGTCTTCGAGTACGCTAGCCATTAGTCCAACTCCTGCCCGGACGTTTTATGACCTTAGCAAAGCCCGCAGGAATGGTACTTGTAACTGAGGTGGAAAAACACATGTACCAATCGACGCGCATAACACCCAGCTCAATTACGTCGTTCATTGACTTACTGATACTGATACTGAGAAAATACAACGAATAGAGATGGCTCTGTGTAACTGCATCTAATATTTTTCAAGCAAATCTACCAATTATGATGGTGATTATTTCCGATCTCTCAAGTCGGCAAAGAATGTGTCCAGGAGTTCCTTAATCTCCGACATCAACTTTGCTTCGACTATCTCTGCAGGCGGGTTTTCCAAATACTCACCACCCCCCGCTCGAAGCGGAGTTTGTGAGCAACCCGCTTCAAATCCGATACGACAAGCTTGTACCGGGGTCCTCGTCTGCTGCTTGGTGTGCGCAGATGCAGCAGAGGCCTCAACATTGGGTATTCGCCCAGATGTAATATCCGGTGCGTCATGATAAGGTCAACCCGCATTCGAGGATAAGACAGGGTGTACAACCCTAGTCTCTTGCATCGGTCTTCATATGGCACACCTCGTAAGCCGGGAATGAGCCTTGTGGCCACATGCTGTATCCGATCATTCCTTTGCACCTCGCCGCGAGTTAGCCGACAGTAGGCGGTTGAGCTGGAAACAACATGTGTGTGATGTGCAGACCCTTTAGCCCCCGGTTTCAGTTCTCATTACCAACATGTTGCTGCCGCTGTAGCTTATAACTAGTAGAAAATGAAATTCGACGGTCTGCCTCGAGCCGCGAACCAAAGGGATTGTTCTCTACGGTTAGTTGCGTTTTTTTTAAAGGTTGCTGGTCAATTATAAACTCATTATGTAACCAAATCGTGTCTCTCAAGCATCGGAAAGTCAGACTGATCAAGTCACATTGATTCGATAAAGATTATCAAAAATTGGCCCGACGGTGGCGCAGGATGTGGGACAAGTGTTTTTCTGGATCCCGTCGACAGCTGCGAGGAATCTAAAAGCAACTGACTATTTACAACCGTGTGAAAACGATCAAGCACCTTTATTTCGATTAGCAGTCAGCAACCACCCCGAAGATCATCTTTGCTTACGTGAAGCCTGCCTGAAGCCGGCAGACGGCTTACCAGTGCTACTGGGTTCGGCCGACTATCCCCTAACATCTGTCATTGGGTATGCGTCCGCGTTTGTTGCTCATTTCGCTTTCGTGTTTGCAAATGACCGTGTATCTATACCGAGTTAGAGGTATGCCGCAAACCCCACTCAACAGTTTGAGTTGCTTTATTGAAGTTGTGCGTCAACTACTCGTCAGCCTTCACGGCACCAAACCTGTTGGACCCGATGAGCTTCACCCTCTGATCCTCAACTCCCTCTTGACTATTATCTCGGCTATTGTGACTGATCTCTACAACAGGTCGGTATCCGAAAGTTCGTAGCCGATTGATTAGCAATACTCGGTTTTAAGTCAGATTCCGAAAGGCGCTGGCTCCGGCAGAGTGCTCAATCACAGGCCAATTTACCTAACCTAACTTTTGGCTAAGATGCTCTAGAATATCGTATGCAAGTCCCTGGGCATCTGACTGCGCTTATTTCGGGCACTCGAATGCAACTTCTGCATCTGGTATGAAGAAGTTAGCGCTCGCCTCTTCTCTTTCATAAGGCTAATGCCAGAATACGACTCGTCTGCCTACTGTCCGATCGCCCAAGGCGGGGCACAGAAGATCGAACTGATTCAACACTTCGTTACCAACCTTGTCTCCAGTTTACTGCGTATGTCGTCCGAAGGCCGGTGCGAAAGCTTGAGATTTTACACCTTGCCCTATCGTCGGGTCTGGGTCGACCTCATCATGACCCGCCGTATGCTTCATCTCGGTACCTTTCCCTTGCTGAGACCGCTGCTCCACTTGCGAACATCATGTGGCACACGCTTGTGGTGCCGATCTGAAACGAGCAGCTCACTTCCTGTGCCACAACGGGGAGTGGTAAATGTTTGGAACCGTCAGCCTGAACAAATACTGGAAGTAAACTCGGTGCACCGGCTGAAAACATTTTTGAATACACACTTCGCCACTGTTTGTGAGCCCTAAATCACTGTGCGTTATACTTTTGTACGATATCTCGTCGGAACTTGAAGAATGGTCAGAGTATTGCCAGATCATTTATTGTCTTTATTTTTATTCGTTTTTGATCATATTTCGATGGAGTTGTGCATGTTTAAATGTTTACTTGCTCCCATATTACAGTTCTAAGTGTTATCCTGTTTCGGACATGCGGTTTATAAACCACATCACCAGACGGTGTCCTTAACAATTCAGCCACCGATTCAAAGTTCTTTATATCTGCGAGCGATCTTGTAGTATCCCATCCAACCGTTGCTCTTGGCTTGGCCGTGACGCTCCAGCATGATGCTCCGACGTACTGCATATGCCCTGTAGACCGCATCATTTATCTACTTCTCTCCGATGCCACCGTGCCTCCTCACGCAATTACTAGCTGTGCACTTGTTTGTGAGCCTGAGTATTCCCGTTGCTTGTCGCATCCCGTGTCTCGTTTTATTTTTCTTAACCGTCCATGCGATTTTTTACATCGCGTACAGGCTTGTTCTATCGTATTTCAGAGTCATGGGGGTATTTCGATTGTGCTTCCGCATTCTTAATTCTTGATGGCTTATTTATTTGCCTATTCTTACTTGACCCATTCAACCTTTGCTTTCATCAAACACCTTGCATTCTGTTGGTTCATGAGTTGCGCGGAATATTTTTATGACCGTTTTTGGTTCCGTTCCTGTTTCCTTCAATCCCTGCTTTCACGGCGTCTACCTACTGTGAAACACATCCACATCACTATTGATACCAGTACGCTTCCTAAGGTCATAGAAATTCAGTGGCATGGGTTGGGGCATTCTTGGGCTCTGCTCGTTATAATTATGTCATCGTTCATCTGGCCGACGAAGAATATCAGGGCATTCTACTTTCCTGCGCCCTCTCTTCCGAAGTAATTCCCGAGTATCTTTTCATCCGTCTGTGTATGACCTTCAGTGACCAGCTTCCATCAATCGGCCCTCACCATTCACTGCGGAGTCCACCTGCACACATCCTGCGTGATCTACACTCAAGCAGCCACGTGCTTTGGATATTCTTTAAAACTTGCTGTGTTGGCTATCGTAATTTTTCCAGATGCCACCAACTCTTCGTGGCATAAGTCATTAATATCCTCTCCTCATTTCACACCCGAAAAATATGTCACCGTTTTCGTATACACTTGTTCCTAGACCTCTGTGCCATATTTTTTACTCACATGCCGTTTTTTAAATGGCTCTATCGTCTTTTTCCTTTATCATTTTCACCATATGTAGCACGTGGATAATGCAAGCTTCGTTGTCCCTGTGGAGTTGGATGGCGTGAAACACCAGGTGAGTCATCCAATTTTTTCTGACTTCTGGAGCTTACCTCGTCAAGGCATGTAGCCATCGCGTTTTCCAATACCATCCTTCTCAACAGTACCTAGGTAAAGAACATTTAATTTCCGCCGATACATCACAAGTGAGCAATACATAGATTTACGTAAGTTTATGTATATGTTGGTCTCCACTAACATTCATATTCAGCTGCATGCAGTACGCATGTCATGCGCAACTCACGCATGTCACCCTGTCGTACGATGACATTGTCGAGGAGATGAGCGTGACCACTTTGTGATTGCGTCCAGGTAGTTATTTCACTCGCACCCAGTGTAAACTGTGTGTTCGTGGTCATTAAGCCGACTGGCGCACATTGAGAGCAGCCGGTCACCGTTCCCATTGGCTGTACCAATACCATACATATTGGGGTTTGGCACTATGTATTGACTTGTTTTCGGAAGTCACTTGTTTTTTCTACCTTACGGTTAATAAAATTGTGGCAATGTATTCCTTCGCAACGTGTTCAGAAGTAGAAAATACGCATTTATTCTGTTTCCTGTACGGCCACCATTCACATTCAGTTCCTCAGTAGGCTTTCTCTCGCAGAGCACTGCATAGTAGACATGGTTTAGCCATTAACAGTCGTCGTTCTTACTCTTGATTAACGGATACATCCACTGGATTCCGTTAAGCTACTTTACCTGGTAAAATCACGACCATAATTTAGTCGTAACAGGCTTTATATGCTCCATTCCAGGCACTTAGTACGACGAGTAGAAGCAGCCATTTCCGCCTTGGAAATTCGTGCTCTGATGTCGTTTGGTTACTATTGTAGGAACACAGCACGGCAAAGTTTACCGCTGTAATGTGTACACACGACCAAATCGTTGTCTCTTCGGTTACAAACACTTGTTACGTGCACCGCAGGATAGGCTGTGGTTGGTGATGACCGATCACAACAATTCTTCATCGCTATATTAATAGTATCCAGCTTGCTAGCGTTTTACGGTCCAGTTCTCACTCCGTGAGAAGTGGCTGGCCGCACAACCTCCACATGATTCCATCTGGGTGGTTCGGGTTAATCCCGGTCCAGGTAATATTTCGGCGGCAGTGTTCCACGATGTGGTGGGTTTTCGCCTGACAAGCGTTCTCCCTATAAAAACCATAAATGTCTGCTTAACAACACTGTGATGTGGCGGATATAACTCGCCACCAACCAAAATCACTGCTTTGCTATACCGGAAGATCTTACACATTTCGCGAACGTCAACTATTTCAAAGATTTCATCTGATCCCTTCCTATATTGACGCATTCACCGAACAAACTCACAAATTCACAGTAATACTAACAAATTCACACAACACGATTACTTACACATGCACCCACATACGCACTACACATATATCCAGTATGTACTGGTTAAATCGTAACATTTCTGTACCATTACCCATGTTATGCGTTTGCATTACTATGATCGTGCCTTTGAAGGCGCGTCTCGCACCATCGAGAATAAATTGTTCATTTATTTATTTATTTAAGCGACGTTGTGGCTGTATAGAACGTGTCGAAGCGTCTTCTTCTTTTGGCAATGCTTCTGGTGAAATTCTTAGGAGAACTTGGTCATCTTCCTGACTCACAGACTGTTGTGGCGCTGCTTCTAAATGACGTCGAATTATTCGCCCGTCCTCCAGCTCTGCTCCCAATGCACTACCACTTTTTGATGTCGCCTCTCTTCGGATTGAATTTTTGTCCGTTGGCCTCAGTCTGTCACATGTCTAAATCACACAATCTCTCGTTATCATGTCCTAGCGTCGCTTCATGGGGACTGTCGTTTAACTACCGTTCTATGTATATCGGCGTCCTGTGGCTATCCACAGTAACAGGCAAATCCGAAACCGGATGCCGCTAACCATGTATATGGAGTTTAATCAAGCCCAACTGAGTGCGCAGCCGTATCCCGATCAAAGTCCACATGATGTATGATCCATGGTAGCGTGTGTTGTAACGCGGTATCCTAGTAGCAATTTGTCCATGTGGGTTTGTTATGTTCCAGACCTTCGTTTGGCCACACTCTTTTTGGTTGTAGGAATCGCTTTCTCGGTCAGACCATTAGACGAAGGATGGTATGGTGCCAAACACAGACGTAGCATAATGAGTGCGAGGAGCGGTCCGCCCCGGGTGGCATGTGACAGTAGGTGGCATTTTTAGTGCCGTTGATTGTTCAATGTCAAACATAAAGGGCAAAATTTTCAGCGAAGCTGAAGGTTGCATATTTCAATGGTACTGTATGTCACATGTGCCATGTGTCACACCTGCACAATAGTTCGCCCCAGCAATCCCCTTACTTGTCCCATGATGGTGGTCACTTTCACCACATTTACCTCAGGGTTCCACACATTCATCCATTTCATTGAAAATGAACGTGCACTTTACTCTGAGCCGATTGTGAGGGTTTGTGGAGTTACAACTGCCAAGGGGAGGGCAAAAATTGTACCCACGCCCTGGGCGGCAAAAGTATTAGCTACGCCACTGGTGCCGAGCGAAAGTGTTCGATTCCATTTTGGAATCGTCCGAACTTGTCGCTTGTAAATGTCGGGATGTTATCCAAAACAACCGTGCATGATGCACCATGTGTAGCGAATATATTCCTTGAGATGTGCACAGTGGTCGACCCAGTCATGGATGTGGTTGCCCAAACTTCGATCCATTTGCAATGTGCGTCCACTACAATCAGAACCATGAAGCCATCGATGGGTCCACAGAAGTCAATATGTATTCTGTCCCACGGGCGCGAAGCCCATTGCCATGGAGACATTGGCACAGGTTGTGGGGATGCTTTATTTTCTTGACAAGCAGCACACAATTGTACGAGTTGTTCTATCGCTTGCTCGACTCCTGGCCACCAGAGGTAGTTACGTGCTAGTACCTTCATCTTTGAATTTACTTGGTGACCCGTATGAAGTTCCCGCAGGATTGTTTAAGGATACCGTTTGGGGACGATGACTCGAGAGCCCCAGAGTATGCAACCGTCCTCGAGGGATAGTTCATTTCTTCTAGTGCAAAATGCTCTTAGATCCTCGTCTTCCTTATGCGGCTTACCAGTGAGGATGTAATCACTCATAGTCGACAGTTCAGCATCGCTCTGTATTTCCGAATTTATATCCGTTGCTGTCACTGGCGAATCACCCAACCGCGATATCACTTTCACCAATTCGCACAAATGTGGCGTGTGGCTCGGAACTTCCTGTATTAGAAGTCGGCTGAGAGCGTTTGCACACTCGCGTTACCAGGAAGATATTTCAATTGGTACTAATAGTCAGCGGAGCGTGCAAGAGCGATACCATTTGAGATATCGCTTTTGATTTGTTTAGAATTCCCAGATGTGCCTTGTGGTCTGTGTGTATTTTAAGCTTTATCCGAATAGCTGTAATTTCGCTCGGGTTGTGATTAGGTCTGTGAGACGAACACAACCGTTTTGTCTTCTCCTCACGCGTCCGCTTGTAAGAGGGCGGTTTCGACTCCGTACGCGGATACATCACAACTCATTTATATTGGGTGTATCCGGCCTGAAAACACTGCACTCCACAGTGCGTTTCGACCTTTTTTAATGTCATCGGGTAGAGTTAGCACGCATGGAACTTGGGACCATTAGGATTTCCGTTGAGGCCGGGTTACGACGGAAAACGCTGGGCACAATGGTCAGTGACTGATTTAACGTTTCGATTCGTTCACTGAGCTGAGTAATTTAATGACAGACGTTTCACCACTTCTCTCAGTGGCATCTTCAGTGCACTGCTCCGTAGAGGAAAATCGCACGGAAAGTGTCGTCGGGACATAGCATTTGAAATTAGCCTCGTCGATCTGTGTCCCGTGACCCGAGTTTGTTCGATATCGGAAGTGATGAAACGTTTGTCATTAAATTGCTCAGATCGGAGCACGAATCAAAACGTTAACTACCAACCCGAGCTACAGCTATTCCGAATCATTGTAAATGACTGATTTGATGGTCATTTTGAAGCACACGTTTGATTGAATTGCGGCGCACATCTCAATGTGGAGCGGTGGCTAAAGGGGCGTAGGTTCCAACTAACATCCCGCTGGTTCCTGGTTTCATGCCTGCTATCTCTATCTGATTAGATCAAGTCTGTCCGTTAAACTCGAACTGTCTTTGCTGGTTAAGTCCTGCGTTTTGCCTTTCTATCGACCATTTGTTCTGTCTATCTCTTCGTGCATTTTGCTTGGTATTCCAAAGCACATTGTGTTTCAAGTGAGTACTATATGTTACCCGCTCACGACACTGCACCTCAGCACCGGGTTCCACTGCAGTCCTACTATCTATATTTGATGAGAGCAAGTTCGGAACCGATCGTGGAGTGTAGTGTTTTCGAGCGGGTCACACCCAATCTTCATCTGCTCCACCTGTTACAATCCCAGTGATTGTAGTGACCAAGGTCCAGTGTGAATCGCGGTCCACATTGAGCTAACGCGTCGTGATGCATACACACAGCGAGTGCTTCAAAATGTTCCTCCAACCAACCTCATCGTCTTCTCATGTTCAAATTAGGCCAATACCAGCGGATTGGCCGATGCACTTTTACCTTGGCATAAAGCCAATTCCTTCGTCTCCGATCACGCTCACTGAGCACTCTTACTTAATAAACGATACAAGGATGTAACACTGTGGCTGATCGTGGGGCAAACCTTGATTAGTGGTGCACGTATATTTCTCCAACGTGTGAGAACCACTCTTATGAACATTGAGCGATGAATTTATACGGGTTAAGAAGCGTTGCTTTACAAGTCCCGTTGGATAGTTGGGGGGCTATCGTAATACTAATACTAATAATACTAATAGTGCCACAGTTAATGCTTGAAATATGAAAATAAGGACTTATCGTTTGCTCCGCTGTAGTCCTGAAATTCGCTTAGATTCACAGCACGCATAGTTAATATCAAATAAATCCATGCTAAACTCCAATGGTAGAATAGGGACGTAGCGCTAAGTAACAAA